GAGTTCAGACCGTCCGGCTGCGCGTCATTGTTGGACGGCTGCCACAGACTAATGCAGGCGTCCCACTGGGAGACCAGAGAAGGACTATACTTTGATTCACCAGATTGTGTTAAATAGTCCAGCTGTTGCGATTTGAAAGATAGTTACCTCAGAAGTGAAATAGAAATGAACTTGGCATTTATGCCTCAGACCATTTTTATACTGTTTGGCAATCAGCTTTTCAGAGGTAGCATTTTATAAAATAACTCTCACCGCTTAAAAGTTTCATTCACTGTAATGTTCGAAATGTCCCACCTTTATATTATCAGTAAAATTAAGCTTGAGTGATATGTAGAATTTGCATGAAATAAGCATTTCCCCTTCATTTCATGAGCTTTGATTGCATTCAATTGAGCTCAGAACCGCGTCGATTAGGGCTCTTTTGGGCATTAGTTAATTTGAATTGCAGCCGAAACGTTAGCCACAATGTTGTTGAACATAATTGGAACGTGGAAAGTTGATTTTGAAAGGAATTTCATTGAATGCAAACAATGATGTGCTTTTTAAAAAATTAGAATGCTGCATTTTCATCTTATAATACAGTCTGAGAAATCTCGTGAGTCCTTCAGAAAGTTCACCCGTGGCAGTGCTGTTGGCAGTGGTTCTGATTCTTCTGATACCAGTGCAGTTCGGAGTCTGGTCTTTCCTTCTCTCGGCAGACAGCCCTGCCTGCCCGGGGCCCGCACTCCGGGCCTTGGGTGGGGCACCGGCCGCTCTCCCTGCCCAGCTTCTGCTCCTACGTCAGGCGTCTTCGTGGGGCAGCATAGATTGGTGCATTGTCTCCTAGCTTTTATGTTGCTTTTGCCTTTTCTTTTTGCCTTGAAATAGCCCTTGAACAAATGATCTAAAGTGACATCTGAAAATATCTATTTGAATGGATTATAAATGGCTATACTGGTACGTTGTGGTAAGGACAAAAAAAATAACAGACAGGAAATCAAGATTCCACAATTGTGGTCCTGCTATCGGCTATTAACAAGTTGTACGCCCTTGGGCAGATCATTCCACTCACATCTTTGTTGTCTTCATTTGACAAATGAAAAGGGATCGGTGATCCCTGTCATCTTGAACATCCCATGATTGTAGTCTTACTTTATCTCACCTGTAAAATCCAAGGTTACTTGGAGATGTTGCAGGATACAGGAAGTCTGCCATACTTTTCGTGAGTATTGATATTTAATCCCTTATTTGTGGTCGTTGCCCTTAGTGGAAGAATTAAAGTGGAAAGATTGAACAGAATAATAGTGTACTGCAGTTCCTGTTGGACCGTTGCATTTGAGTACCTGGGATTTTTACCTTGGGGGAGAAGCTTCAGATTTAACCTCCTAAAAGCTGCCACTGCAGTTGCCTACAGCAAGAACCTGGGTGTCTGGCACCATCGCCGATGGGGCTCTCTTCCTCTTCCCATAGAAGGGAATGGAGCTGGAATGAAGCCTGGCAGGAAGGCCTCTCATTCCAGAGGGCGCCCTGGGCCCCTGCCCATGGGAACCAGGAATGGACCCGATGCCAAACCAGGAGGAACTATTGATGCAAGTCACAGAGGGAAAACGACAAGGTTAGCTTGAAGGGATGGACTTTATATATCTAAAGATGCCACTGCAAACAGGCATTCAGAAAGAGATCATTATATATGTGTTTTTAAAGGTTTTATTTATTTTTAGAGAAGGGAAGGGAGGGAGAGAAACATCTGTGTGTGGTTGCCTCTCGGGTGCCCCCCTACTGGGCCTGGCTGGCAACCCAGGCATGTGCCCCGACTGGGAATCAAACCAGTGACCCTTTGGTTCACAGGCCAGCACTCAATGCACTGAGCCACACCAGCCAGGGCCAGAAAGGTGTCATTAAACATGGCAAAGTCAGTCTGTGGCATCGTCATCTTTCTAGGAAAAGATGCCTTTGGTAAGCAGCGTGGTGCTGGGGAAGGGCGGGAACATGGCGATAGAGCCCCTGACGGTGGCTGTGGCTCCGCCACTGCTGAGCCGTGAGTGTAGGCCAGGCTCCTCCCCTGTCCGAACATCATTTTCCTCATCTGTAAAAGGATAGATTGGACCAGATGGTCACCGTAGTCCCTTCTGGTCTCACTCAACCTGTCGGGATTCCAAGTCAGTGCTCATTAATCTTGAGAAACTCGTTACCCTGACTCTCAGTGTACAGATTCAGAGAAGTCGTCCACTGTGCCAAGTTCAGTGCTAACGAACAAAGGAGTTCTCAGACTGTAGCCTCAGGTGATTTAATAGTAGATTAATCTGCAGTTGAGAAGCTTACTTCAAGAAAGGAAGAATTCCTTGGACTGGGGCAGTTCCAGGACAATTTCAGCCCGACAATGCAGAGTTCCCGAGGTTTCAGTTCAATCAACATTCATTTGTTGCTGTTGAGAACCCCCGAGAGCACTTCCTGGAAGTGTTCGGCCTCCAACTGATGAAGAAAGCTTTCTTAGGATGTGTTCACCACCCTTACCTGCAGACACCCATGGGCACGGAAACATCCACACTAGTTCTGCAGGAGGGGTCAAGGTCAGTATGGGTTGATGGAATTTGCTCACCCAGAATGAAATGCATACCCCTTTGCATGCTTAGAGCAGGTTGGCTGGCTTATGCACAGTGAGCTCAAACCCAGGATGGTGGAGCCGGACTGGTGACTTGAGTCGCAGGCTTTGTGGCTTTGACCGCAACAACCCAGCTAGGCTGGAGCTTCACTTCCTAAAATTCCCTTGTCCATTTGCTTCTACGTTAGGGAAGCTGCGAGAGAAATTTGCATGAGATTGAGAAGGCAGAAATCACATAGCAGCCTTTTTTTAAATGCTCTGAAGGTCCACGCTGTTCCAGTTTGTGCATGTTGTCACCTCGTTGGCATGTGGCAGCAGCTGGCCCTCGGTTTCTCCAGCTGCTCCAGTCCCGGGCCAGGTGTGTGTGCATTTCCACGAGGAAGGGCCCCAGCTTACCCTGCAGGTGGTCTGCCTATCAGGAGTGGGGACTCGGACACAGGCAGCCCTGGTTCACCTTCAGTCTCTGGCCACTTCATCCACCTTCCCTTTTAGCTGCCAGAACTGCTGACTTCATGCCCAGTGTCAGAGGCGGGGGCAACAGACTGAAGCAGACTGCCTAAGAGCCCCCTCCCACTGCCTGAGTCCGACTCCCGTAATTAATTAATCCTCCCATCGGTCACAGCGGCGGGCTTCTCTGACCGCACCCCAGTAGGTACGGCCTTTCAGGTGTTGCCTGGCTCAGAGAAAGTCAAGCCAGGGAAACCTCTAGCCCATCCTGATTCCCACAGTAGAGGAACAGACATCTGGAGAAGTGGGTCCTCGGGCAAGGTAGATGAGCAGTGTCTTGGTGCTTTCTAATGACAAGGGCATTGCCAAATTGAGGCAAAAATAAAGGAATCTGTCCTCATAATAGCCTAGCCTGGTCACCTCTTTGCTTGACCACCTCCAAGGAGGACAGAGGTCGGAGTTTATCACTTAATGATATGAGCACGTCACAGAGTATAACCAGATAGCCAGATGGAGTGCTTTTCAAGATTTGGATAACTCCCATAGCACCAGTCAGAAAGTAATAAAACTGTGGTCATCGGGCTTGAGGGTTTTTGTACCTGTGGCAGGACCATGCAGGCCATTTTCTCTCAGTAGCGGATCATTTGTTCTGTTATTTATTGTTGTGTAAGAGACTTCCAGACCTACTCACGCCAAAGCCTTGGTTTCTGCCCATTCATCACGAGCCTTTCACAAACAGTTAATCAGCACTCGTTCGCGGACTCCATAAATGGGTTTGTGCCAGGTGCTAACTAGGGCACGCCTGTGAGCAAAGCCGAACAGCCCCCCGTTTCAGAGTCGCTTCCATTGTATTTGCAGTGTTTACTTAACAACTGTAGGAAGTGCAGCGAGGGTCAGGGGGAGTATGGAGAGGCAAGAGCATGTCTTAACGGGCGGCCCTGACTGGCTCCAACAGTCAGGGAGTAGCGGAAATCAGCTCCAGGCAAGGGGCTGGCAGGACCGTGCGCAGAGCCTGGCCTCCAGCGGTGGGCAGGGGTGCGCTGGCTCGTGGGGAGCATCCCAGCGTTTGCCAGAAGACCGGATGGGTCTGAATGGCCCCTGCCCTGCCTCCTGCCCACCCCTCAACTGTCAGGCACCAGGTCGGCAGCCCAGCACCTTCAGGTGGTGGCTCCTGACCGTGACTTCAGAGCGGAGGAGGTGCCGACCGCCTCATTTCCTGAGGCCTGGCAAGTGCGTTTCAGGACATGCCCTTCTGCAAGGAGACGGCCACCCCCTCAGCTGGAGGAGCGGTAGCTTTTTGCATCAGAAGAGAGAAAAGGAAAGCCTCTGTAGGCAAAGAAAGGGCGCCTGCAATTCAGTCAAAGATTTCTCCGGAAACACGATTCTCCTTTTTAGAAATAGTTTTTGGGAAGCTAGCATTGTAGCTGGTTCGCTGGGTTCTCCCATCGGCCCGTGCTCCGCCCTGCACCCCCACGTCTGACCAGATTTCCCCTGGTGTCTCAGCTGTCCGTCGGTGACGGTGACGGTGACGAGGGCGACGGGCTTCCCTCGTCCAGGCAGTCCCCTGAGCTAAGCGGCAGCCACGCGCACCCAGGGCTGGGGGCAGCAGTTAGAGGGCAGGCAGGAGTCCGGGCTGGGCAGTGGGGAGGGCCGCACGTGTCTGTGAGCTTTGCACTTCCTGAGAAGAGCATGTAATTAAGCAGGTAGGTGCATTTGGCTTTTTAACATTTCTGTAGTTAATTGCTCTGACTTTTTCCGCCTTCCTTTTTCTGGCCTTGTGCTCCTAATATGTAATCTAATAGCTTCACTTTTCTTTTTAAATGGCTGGCATCTCAAAGATCACTTTGCGCATGTTGATTAGACTAAGAACATTTTGGGTTTTTTGTTCATCTGAATTCAGGAATCTGAAATACAAATATTTTCTCTCTCTGCTTTTAATTTTTTTTTGTTTGTTTAACTGTTTATCCCCTAGGCCTCCCAGTAACACTGGATGGAGGAGACAGTACATTGGCAGTGAAAAACAAGCTAAACCAGTTGTAGTTTTAGATCCTGTTTCCACACATGAACCCCAAACCAAAGACCAGGTTGCCGAAAAAGATCCAATTCAACGCAAGGATGACGAAGGCGAAATTAAACCAGAATACAAAGAAGACAGCGCTGAAAAAATAAGAGACACAGACAGCTCCAACTGCTGATCCGTAACCCAGAAGGCTGACATTTTCGGGAGCCCTTTCCAAAATGCACATGATTAGCTTTGGTGTATTGGCAAGCGCTCCAGACATTCTGTTCTTATCACTGTATTCAAATAGAGGTTCATTTCTGATGTCACTTTTGTAAGTAGACTACCTATAAACATAAGTAAGCTGTTTAGCAAATTACACATGCTGTGTAGTTTTTCTTTTTTAATATTTATAGGGATAAGGTTTTTTTCTAATTACTGGATCAAGTGTGACTTTTTTTTAGAGGGTTACAAACAATTCAGATGTTGCTATTTTTTTAGTTAATGTGCATACCACTCTTCAAATGTAATGCTGAAAGTTTGCAGTGCTGTGCATAATTGGATAAACAGAACTGAATAACTTAAGATGATTTTAAAAGCCCCCAAATAAGATGCTTTTTGCATCTCATCCTGTCTTGATGGAGAAACTGCAGTAGCACAGGAATTGTGAAGCGCTGTGGCACACAAATTACTTTCTAGGATATACCGAGATAAACTTAAAATTCAGGAGCCGGCATCAAACCAGTAGTCCCACAGGCAGTGCTAATTACACACATAGTCACCTGTGGGATGAAAACTACCTGCTATTGATCGTGTCCAAAGCCTCGCAAGGACTTTTGGGGCAGTGCTCTGGTGGCCTGAATGCAGAACTGAGGTGACGGTCTAATCCTTGAATTGAAGAGGGCATTATCTCGGTAAACCGTGTGCTCTGTGCTATGAGTTCATTGTGTTTTCTCATGTACCAAGCACCGTATTTTATCCCAGCTCTTATTTTCTTGCTTCTCTGCCATTCTACATTATGTAGGTTTGTTGTTGGGTTTTGTTTTGTTTTGTAAGAAATGAAGTGGTAGTCAGTCTAAAAATACATTGTTTCCGTCTACCACAGTGAATAAATAGAAATGTAATCAGGGATTTAAAAAAACAAACTTATGCAGTTTCAAAGTTGATTGTTTCAAAATTGATGTTTATTTCAAATAAGTGGTAATGTACTTGAATGCATTTTTTTATGACAGTGATTCAGTAATGGTAATTTTACTATTAAAGAAAGTGAGCGGTTTAGTTTCGTTAGCGTAGCTCAGCATGTAGCTGTCAGGTGTTTCTCACCGAAGGGCAAAAGAAAACGGTAGTAATAATTGCAGTAGTTGTATTGTACTTTATTTTTGCACGTGTGCTAAGCATAGGCTTGAAGAGGTGGGTAGGCAGGTAAATGTACTTCCTGAATTTGGAGATAATTATCTCTCTGTAGGTTCGTTATGCTTGACTGTTTCCATGTTCTTCCAGTGACAAGTTGACAGTTTCTTACCAGTTTACTCCTGGGAAATGAAAATGTAATGTTTTCCACTGTAACTTTCCCTAACTGAATAATACTGCTATATGATACACTGATTACAAACTGCATTAATTCACTTGAACAAGTTTTGTTATGCTGTGATTTGAACTCTCTTCCCCACACTTATTAAAAAAAAACACCAACAGTATCCCTTTAAAGGTCGTTTGTGGTTATTGACACCTTTGGATTAGGTCCCCAAATTTGACATTCTTTTAAAAAAAATGATGTAAGTGTTGATCTTTAGTAATTTTTAATAATCCACGAAGTGATTTATTTTGAAGAATTTTATTCCCTGTTTCTTCATGCCCCCTCCTTCCTGTGTCGGTCCTCAGTCCACTGAGATGTGTCATACACATTTAGGAATATAAGGTGTGCACTCTTATTCCCTTTTGCATTGTGCGCTTAACAGAACAGTGCTGTTGTAAAAGCACCCTCTTTTCCAGGCTAAGAAGCAAGCTGTGGAGCGGGGGAGGGGGCGGGGGGAGGGTGGGGGGCAGGTAGCGGGGCTAGCGAGGCCAGGCTGCAGTTATTCACTGGCATTAGAGTGTTTTTTTGCCTATTCCGAGCTGCTAACTTTCTTTCACCGTGATCCCATCATTTAAAATTAATTGATATCAAGGTATTTGATGTAGGATTTCACTCACCTTTTTCTGCCTACAGTTTTCCCCTTTTCACATCAGTTTTTGGAAGGTTTTGCCCCTGCTTTTTGGGGTGCCAGAGCCAACAAGCAGGCTGGGACAGGGAGACCTGTGAAGGCTAGTGCTTGTATCTTCAAGGTACGTTCTAAGCTCTTGGCATTAAAGGTGTAGACTCCCTACTTAATGCTATTTTAAAGTTGGAAGGGACTGCCATCTTTATATTCTTGTTCTCTCTAAAAAAAATTATTTATTATTCCTTCTTTTTTAGAAATATGAACTAGGTTGCATCTGCTACAGAGTTTTGTAATTCAGCGTTGATGCATTTTATAGCCCAGCGTTGATGCACTGAGGCAAAGGAAGATTGGTGTTCTTGCTGTTAAAGAAAAAGACAATGTCTCCCTTCTTCTGCAAGAACACGGATTTAATGAAAATTCTAGCCCTTCCTTGTCTGAGCTGGTCTCCTGCCCTGGCCCACAGCAGCAGCAGCAGCCGCAGCTGTCCTGCGCGCACTGGGCTTGGGGAGGGAGTCGGGGGTGCTCTAACCGCCCCGCCCCGTTTGCTCTGGGTAAAAGGACGGGCGGGCGTTTCGTTTCTGGCTGCTCACCATCGGTCCTCCTCCCATCCCTGCTTTGTTACCAGGGAGACTGTGAAAATGGAGTGGTACAGGTACGAATCATTGCTAATTATCTTTCCAGACCCTTTTTAGGTGGATAACCCATATAGCAGAACCCTAAAAAGCAAAATTTGGGTGGTTTTTCTAACTGCACTCTGCGTGTCTAGTCACTTTCATCATGGAGCAACTTTGGCTTATGCAGAAATAGGCGGTGAGAGAGTGGACAGCTGCCCATCGTCGTCACTGACCTTAGAGGATCGCCAAGCCCTCCTCTCTTAAGGACTGTCCCCTCTTAAAATGGGATGTGACTCGTTCCTTTCATCTCATTTACAGCTAATATCTTACATATGATCTACGTTTTATGTCTGTCATATATTATGTAACAAATGGAGAGAGAGAGAGAGAGAGAACAGAAACAGTAGTTTTTATCACTCGAAACATTTTAAATTAAAATGCTGCGTACCCACTGGTGACCTCAGTCCTCGAGTGAGGTGGAGGTGAATAGGCCGAGCTCTGTGTTGAACTTAAAGTAGTGATCTGGTTCAGGTCATACATTACCTCCTTGGTTAATTTAATGTAGCTCTTTGCTTAGCTGCTCATTTTCCCCCTCTGGTTTCATTCATTTAATTACAATGGTCAGAGTTCCAGGGCTACTCTCACAGGGTCTCCCGTGCTCCGTGTGTGCGTGCATACATGTACATGGGCAAAGGCTGTGGGAACACCCAGCCCGCCCCTACCGCCTTTAAAATGAATTTTCCTTCAAGACGCTTTAAGCCTCAGGAGAGACAGTAGCAGCCACACACTGGACACCGTTCTGCCCCTGAGCCAGTTTCAAGTCATTGCTTCAAGGGTAAGACCTCGGCTCTACTCAAAGACCAGCGCACTTCCCTGTGAAGACTCTTCAAAAGGAGAGGCCCTCGGTGTGGTTAGTAAACACGTGGCAAATATATCAAAAATATAAACTTATTACCCAGCTCTCCCACACGTCAGTACATAGCCGTTTATATAATTTGGGGGGAAAGCAAATGACAGCTTTGTTTTAACAGAGAATCTGAACCGTACAAAGCAGCCAGGCATTATGTTACGTGTAGGTGTGTGACTAAGTTTATTTGTGTGACTCCCCTGCCACAGCCTCAGCTGGGCTCACGGAAGAGGCCGTTCAGTCAGCCTGTCACATTGTCTTCAATCACCTGTTAAGTTCTGTCATAGAAATAATCGAGTATTTAATTCCTTTAAGAATATCCATCCACATGCGTTTAGTCACTTACACTTATTCTTGTTCCAAAAAGGATTGAAGGAGACTCACAAGGACACAAAAAATATAAGAAAAACTAAAAGTCAGAAAGAGGAGGGACTAAGGGCAGAGGGAATTCAGGTAGGACAGTACAAGGGAGCTGCTTTGCTGGGCTGTGACGAAGGACAGTGAAGCTCTTGTACTTCCGCATGAGGTTGGCTATGAAACTCCCTGGGCTTTATAACTCAGGTGTAAGACAAACACAGGTGTACCCCTGTTCCTGGCACAGAGAGCTCCTAGTGTCAAAGATTTTTGTCTTCCGAGATGTTTTCTTTGGTTCAACTGAGTGTGGAGTTAGCAACAAAAGCACTGGGCTCTGTTACTGGGTAACCCCGCGCCCAGACACAGTGGACAGCAGAGCTGGCATGCAAACAAACAGCCCTCCGTGGAAACATGGTGGCTGTAAGACAAGAGTCCACAGGCATAATTTCAGGCAGAAATTCTACGTATGTTATTTTACCAAACGGTAAAAGAAAACACACAAATTCATTACATTTTAGAGCAAAACCAGTGAGAAAAGGACACATGGCAGACCTGCCAGTCTAATAACATGATGGGGCTGTAAGCTGGGGAGCGCACAGCCCCGTCTGGAGGGTGCTCACGCTTTGGCTGATTCCACTGTGACCTCTGTGGGGAAGACGGGCTCTGGGGGCTCGGGCAGCTCGCCAGACCCCGCCGCCGCAGCCTTGGTGGCCTTCTCGTCTTCCTCGTTCAAGTGAGAAAAAGTGAGTACTTCATTGACACCTACCCAAAACAACAACAACAATTTGATGTTACTTGATGTAAAGGAGGTCATCCTCAGACCTGTCCAGAGGTGTCATACCGCTATCAGAAAGGATTCTAGAACCATTTAAAACTGGGCCTGTTTCAGTTTTACATCAAATGTGCATTACTTGCTTTTTCAGGTTGCATTGCGCCCTTGTGCAGCCTTCTGCAGCACTCGACGTGCAGCAGACTGAGGAGTGGCTTAGCAGAAAACGCCAAGAGGAAAAAGGTGAATTAGAGGAAAGGCCAGTACGCTACCTGAAAATAAACCATGGCCAACTAACCCTTCCCAGGCAAATGAAGGCCAACTTAGACTCTTCAGACAGGCCCCCGTAAGCAGTGACAGGGTTTTAGTAGCTGAGCTTTTGCCATGATTTCCTACTCAGTCTCTCGGTGGCGAGAGATGTTTTTCCAGTTTTTGGCCCCCTTCACATTTATTGCTCACTGCCCATGTCAGAGAAGTTCTCGTTCATTGGTTAATCTGTCCCAGAATGCTCAGGGGCCTGCACTGTCACCAGAGAGGGGCTGGTCTCCGGTCACTGGAGTCCTTTTTGATGCCCTGAAGCAGCTGTTTCCCTTGTGGTGAGTCTGGCTGGAAGTGTGGTAAGTCATTTAAGGAACCTAAGGCTCCTGCAAGTCAGCACAACATCGGAAGATAATCGGGCGACGTGTAGGAAGAATACGATTTTACCTGTTTGAAAACACAAGCCTTGCGTTGCCCACAGACACCACAAAGACACTCCCGACTACCATTATGTGACTCACAAATAGTCTCCCAATTATATCTTCACTTTCTGTCAGTCTCAGGGTGTGTTTCAAGATCATTGCATATGCTAAACATGACAAATTTTATAACCACCATTTCTGTTGGTTTCTTTTCTTCCTCTTTAATGCATGTATTGAGTCCTAAAGTAGGACTGCTTCCTTTCTTTCAATGGTCCACCATACATCTATAATACAGCCATCTCATTTAATAGACTTTAGCATCCAAGAAAATTTCATGTTTTAGTTATCATCACTACTTAAATAACATGCACTGTTTTTTAGTATATCAAATCATTTATCTTAAAATACAAAACAGTTTTAGAATTGCAAAAACAACTATTGGTTTAATGTTTCAGCGTGCTACATACCTACTTTTGGCCATCACTGTCAGTAATAGAAAAAGTAAAATTGGATATCTGGGGTGTTTCTCTCCAGTTTGCCAGTATACAAGGTGATCTGACCCATGCAAACTTACAAAGGTTTGAGGTCATAGGCGATTGGGTCATTTCTCTTGAGACCATAGCCTTCCCAAAGTACATTAAAATGAACATGCTTCCTACTTAAGTAAAAGGAGTTGCTTCCAAGAACCACCAGGAAAAATCTGCCTTTAACTTTCATGGGCTGTGTAGAGAAACCTTAGCTATAATTTGGACCATAACAAAAGGTAGGCTTGGAGATTCCAATCAATCAATTCTATTGAAAAGCATCATGCAGCCTGTTTATCAAGAAGAACAGCAACAGTTTTAAACATTCAGGTAAATAGATAATCCATTAAGAAAACAATGTACATTGTGGCAAATGCCATCCTAGTCTGTCAGCACTTATTTATAGTCTTTAGAGCCCTCTGCCCTCCTGCTGAGGGACTTCTGTTCGCCCTCTTCCAATCTTTGTTCTCTTATTCATGGCTAAGCAAGAAAGCAGCACATACCCAGTGTTCCGTTCTGGACAAGCTCTTCCTCTATAGTGAAAATGCGGTTGTACTTAGTCACCCGTTCACCACGAGAAAGACCTCCCAACTTGATAAACCGGACACCCAGTCCAACGGCCTTAAGAGGGAAAAACAACTTATTATCCATGGAAGAGTCACATTTTGCCAAAAGGACACTGTCTCCATGTGCTCTTTTGGTGTTTCTCTTATAATTTAGTTTTTTATCTTTACATAAGTAAAGTGGCTTGCTTAAAGCTGAGGGTGTCAAATGGTAAAGAGATTGTGTGAGTCTACGTCAGACACTTTCCTAGCCACACGGGCGTGCTGATTTTATCTAAGAACATTCTGGCCTTTCTCCATTTTAGGAGGTAAGATTGCAGGTGTTCACCCCGGTCATTTAAAGGTGCCCTTCATATTTCCCAGGATTTCCAATTTTTCTGCTCTTTAGAAGTTCAAAGATTAACTCTTTGCAAAAGGGAGCTGTCTGGGAGGAAGAAGCAAGTCTGTTTCATAAAAGATTACATAACTTTCTCTGCCAAAGACTGTATTTCTCTGAAATACCAGTTCGTGGTAAAAGCAGTGTTTTGGCAGTTTTGTAGTTGACCAGCCTTCGGCACTTACCAAATCAACAAGGCTGTCATCGCACGATTCCGCTTCTGTGCTTCCAAAGACGGCGATGTACCTCTTCCCTACAAGCAGGGCAATTCTTTTCAGGTTTCCGTGGTAAAGAAACAGGTAGCATATACATGAGCCTCTGAGATCAAAATTAAAAAGTCCCAGAGATTTAAAACTTTCCTGTGAGGAGTCAGTTATTTGACCACCTAAGAATTCTAACCCAAACATTTGCATTTTTTATTATCCTGGTTTTTTTTTTATGTTTACCCCTTTCCAGTAGCTTAGATGCTACTAAATGAATGCCATATTTCATCAAATTTAAGATACTGTAAATTGTAAGATTCACCATTACTACCACTAAAGGGGGAAAATGCTCAAATTAGATCCATACATTTTTAAGCCCACAGCTGTAAGATATGATTCAATTTCTTCCATGTTCATTGTGGAAAAATGCATCTTTGAGTCAGCACAAGGTGTGTGCAAGGGCAGCGCTTGGCGAGTTGGCCTGCCTAAACAATGGACTTCACAATTCACTGTGTAGAATTTTATTCAAAGGAACCTGTCATTCTGAACGTTTACTCATTAGGAGAGCCGCACTGATAGTTTAATCATTTGAGGATCTCAAAGACCCTTGGGATTTACCCGTCTACAAAGAGTGCGCACCAGCGTTCCTCCTAGAGTGATGGCGGGGGAGGTGAGAGAGGCGGGGGCTACAGCAGCGATCTGTGGTGAAGGACAGAGTGACTGCCCAGTGGCGGGCCCCAGACTGGGGCAGCCTGCAGGCCTGGGGGCCGCAGGCGCTCGTTCCGTCCCCTGGCGCCAGCCCAGCCAGGCCCGCTCCGGGTCCTGCGGCGGGTCTGAGGCTAGCCTTTGTCTGGTTCCTGATCTCTGTGTTTCAAGCATGGTGCCCAAGCGAACATGACTCCCATGAAATCATGGACGCTTACAGTCTAGTGGGAGATACCAGGCCTTAAAATAATTGTAACAGTAAGTGTGGCCAGGACTGCAAAGAGAAAACATAAGCTGCAATGGGAAAGGTGCAGAGCAACCAGTTAGGGGTAGAGGAAGTCAGGGAAGGCATGTACAGCGTGGGACAAAAGGGGGTTTATAGTTCATATGGAAAATAATATAATAATTAATACAAGAATAAACTCTGTGTTTCGTGTACTCACAACCGTAAATCTCCTTTTGTCCCACACTGTAGATGTGAAGAGGTCCCATTTAAGGCAAGAAGTCCTGAAGGATCAGGAGCAATTAGCCAAGCAAACAGCACAGGGCAAAGCATTCTAGGCTGAAGGGACAGCATGCTGGAAGACCTCAGGGTGGTAACACGTTTGAAACTTGAGGAATTAAAGAGCAGTGTGGGCAGGTGGCCTCACTGCCGTGTCGTGTGAGGCAGACAGGGCGGTGGCCTCAGCCACCCCTCCGTGGCAGCCCTCATAAAGGAGATGACCTGGACTGGGGCCCGTGCTGGAGCATTATGGAGTGAGTGAGTGAGCTGTATTTTGTTTTCCAGTTCCAAATCTCACCGAGGTGGTGGGATTTTTTTTTTCTCCCAAAGTTGATTTTGTGCTTTCTATTAACCAAGGTACTGCATATTTTGGGCTTCTTGTATCACCAAATTCATTATGAGTCTTTCTGATCTCTACTTTTACTCACTGTCAATGAGATTGGTTATTTCCACCAAGTCCGACATTGTAGTTTGATTCGTGTGTTTTATGATCAGCCCACTGGACTTGGGGTTGCTGATGTTTCCATCCTCTATAAGTTTAGAAATGCTTTTGGAGGCACTTCCTGCAATTACGTAACACCTGGAACCAAGAGCATTATAGAGGCCATCCCACTGTTCAGAGTCCTGGGTAAATATTTAAGAATTGATCATTACAATGTCACAAAACAACAGGGATCATACAGCACATAAAGTTATATGCCTTTCTGAGATAACACAGAACAGTTTTCTTTTGCATCTGCAGCTGAACAATGCCTGTACCACAGCCACACAAATTAACAAGCTTCTTAGAACCAAAACTTAAAATGAATTTCAGGTTAGGGATCTAGTGAATAAAATGTTTGTACACATTAGATGCTATTCTCTGCATTGATTCTTAAGTTCTTCAAACCCAGGCTTTCCTCGCCCACTATATTACCCATAATACTGCTACAGATTGGCTGGTTAGAAGATTTTACTGTTATTTCTGGTAAACAGACAACTGAAAGAAGCCTACAAGAGCTCTTGGCTCTCTTTCTCAACACCCTTATATTTTATTGGTGAGACCACTATATGAAATGAAATGCTTACTATTTAAGAAAAATAACATTCCAAGTCTTCCCAGCTGTTGTAGCAGATTTCATCCAGTCTCGTTAGAACAGGTCACGTAGGTGCACCCTGTCCCACTAACAGGAGCTGTGGTCCAGAGCCCCAGGCCAAGCGCTAGAAGGCAGGTCTGGCCAGATTCAAGGGCTGAGCTCAGCCTGTGTCTCCCGCAAGTGCTGGGGTGGTAGAGCTGCGGCCGTGAGAAGATGGGACCGAGACCCTGGGGCTCCCAACCAGGTCCGGCACTATCCTTGCCCCCCAAATGCAAAGTGTTATTGCAGAGAGGCTGTCTCCTCAGTATAGCTAATGGTTCTCAAATTCATATAATGAAGGACTTCAGTTGTGCTGTTTAAGTGGGTTAGGAAGAGAGATGGTCTTCTGTGGCACAGAACCAGCCCCTGTCACAGACATCAGTTTGAATAGATTTTAAAAAGTCTCAACCCTCTTAAAAATATGGCTTTATTATTTTTTTTTTTTTTGCATACGCAGTAACTGGGTTTAGGATAAAAAAGAATTTGGCCTAGTCAAAGTCCTTTTTCCATGAGCACTTGATATATGATTAACCTGTTGAAGCACCTGCTAGCACAGCAGGCGTGGCTTCCATCAGTTAAGTTGCTTGTGAACCTACAGATACTCCTGAAGTGCTTGGAATAGCTTGTTTCATTCCGTAGACAGGCACACTCCTTGGCAGTCGTGTTTCTGCTATTCATTTGCTTCGTAAGTGCCTTCTCTCAAATGCCAAAATAAAGCAACTCAGCCCCAGCCCAAATTACAACACATTTCAAATGACAGATCCAAGAGAATGGGATTTTATTCTGTGTGTCATTACCAAATTCAAGAGGAATCCTGTTACCTCTTTCCTGAAAGGATCGATGAGGGCAATAATGGAAGGGAACTTGTTGATCAGGTCCACGTATAGGTCAACCATCTCCGCGGCATTTTTGTGTGTTCCCGTCGCCACTTCGTACTTCCCTTTACTCTGTAAGTGTAAGGGAGATATTGGAGGGTACACGGCGAATTCCTCAATGTTCACAGTGTGATTCAAACTCATTTCCATTCATTTCATATAAAGGACGGCAAACAGATTGTTTCCAGGCCACGGTCACAGGAGAAATCTGTGCATTTTACTTTTAACATCTGCTACATGTTAGCCTGGGGAAAACCAGTCCCCATTCCCTTTCACTCCAGAGAGCTCTTCCCACTGACTTCAGATGAAGCCCTCTGCGCAAAAATCTGAGTACAGAGCAGAAGGGGAACAATTTCTTCCTTCGGTTTATGGCGTGGGGCCAGATACCTGGCTGCATAGGTAGATGGGCAATAATAAAAGGTCATAAAACAAACAATACAATGCAAACCTGCCTATGCACTAGAGCCCACCATCTTTCAACTCACAATGAACACAGTTTGTTTCTTCTGCAGTGAATATTCTGAAAGTTGAAAGCAGGTCTAGGCTTTTGAGATACTAACAACCAATATTAAAGGTTAAGTGATTTATGGGAAGGCGCTCCTTTCTCAGATATCATGCAAGTGCTAGTAGTGACAATACTGTCTTGAAAGAATTCTAGTGCAAGCCCCTTTATTTAAAGTCTGGCAAACCCTCAAGTCATTGAGTATAGAGGTAAGGAGGGCTAAAGGGTCTAGTGTCATCTCTCTGGAAAACAGCACCTTTCCTTCCACGTCTGCGGTTGGGGATGGCTCCAGGGATCCAGGAACTGGGAGGGAGCTGGACAGTGACAGAATGGCTGTTTGGTTTGCTAATGACTTCCTGCTGCTGCTGCTGCTGCTACTAATTGAACGGATTCCATTGGAATTAAGCAGGTTCTTAAGAAATAAATAATTGAAAGGATTTCATACTGTTTTCACATTAAATAGCATCAAGAACTTTCAGTTTCTATACTTCAAGGCTTTAAAATCCTGTCTTCTCAGTAAGAAAATGCTAATGACTTTGAACTAACATTATTGTAAGAATTCTCTGATATCAAGATAATATATTTTACTGAATATATACCCGCTATAGTTAGCACTAGCAGTTAGTAGTATATTTATAGTTCTTGGTGTAGGTTGCCGATAAAAACATGCAATTATTTTTCTTAATGGCATGCCTAGGAACCAATCGTTATGTGAATTAGGAAATGATATTAAACATTCCTTTATGTGCTTAGTTCTAGAAAAGTAAAAGAACTTTTAGAAATCAGCTGAAACTCAGGGTTCCTATATATTGCTCAAATTTTCCTTTGAAGTTGGTAAATCAGAGTGAAATTCCATTTGGTCATATGCCCTGAATTTTTTATAAGGAAGAGAGAGAGAGAGAACCCAGTTTGTCATTCCACTTATGTATGCATTCATTGGTTGGTTCTTGTATGTGCCTTGACACCATGTCACCGTAAATGCACATCAATGTGCTGGGTGTTTTATAAAATTTATATTCAGCATTTAAGAATTGGAAAATGGAAAATGTGTTTAGGTGCACAAGACAACTTGTAACATCTTTTCTAATGTCGCGACTTCCCATGGTTAAAGGTTAACTGCTGGTGCAATACCCTGAAGAAGTGAGGACTATAACATTTTAAAATAAAACCTGCTTTCCACTTTCTTTCTTTTTAAAATAACTTCCTCCATGTGGTATGGTCCTAGGTGAAGTTTCATCACCAAAGCTCTGTCCTAACCCACACAGACTGTGGATAATTGGATATATTCTCATAAACTTCAATAACTTGGAAATATTTTATATTTAAAAAGTGAGTCACAGCGCCAGCTCAGAGAAGCACATGTTTAGAAGGGTTTATCAAGTCAGTTACAACTGATCCACTTTCCATGCTTAACAAATTCATCATTTACCAACCAAATGATGATGCTCAGCAAAACATACCAGTCTGTGACATTATTTTTCAATAGCTTTCATGAATGCAATGTAAAAATTCTAGTCATTTTTATTATAGAATTTCTATGTATACTTATGATGTTTTCCTTTAATTTCTAAAATTATGTATACGGTTATATTATTCTCTAGTTATTAACTAACTTGGCTTTCTCAATTCCATTTATATTTGGGTGCCCTCAAAAAACTACCAAAAAAAAAAAAGGATCTGTTTGGAAAATACACAGATACGCTCTTTTGAGTTCTAATTTAAAAACAATGGGACTTCAACAACAAGGCCATGTCCTGGAGTAGAAACTCACATAGTCCATCAGCTCCTGTGCAGCACAGTTGATGGCCAGGTGCAGGTTCGTTCCCATTTCTAGGCCCAGGTTCGCACAGATTCCTTGTATTAGAAGCAGAGGCTGCTCTATGGTGTCAAAAGCAATGGTTAAACAGCCCAGGTGGGACATCTTGCCCGTGATCAGCTGCTGCAAGATCAAAGGAAAATCATGAGTGTCAATACAACACATTACTATTCTTGGGGTTTGCGGTGTGACGTGCATTGTACAGCCAGATACAGCTCTCCAAAGATGTGTTCCTCTGTCTGATTCTTGATTAATCCTGCATCTCGGTCCCTTTCATCTCTGCATGACCTTCGGCATATGATTGCCCTGCAGTATCTGGGAGGAATTTTCTTACTTTATTTTACTTGACAAGGTTTTCAAGCTTGGCCTGGAGAACACCTACCTCTGTCTTCAGTGTGCCGAGGTTCTCTCTCTATTGGCTCCGCCACTGCACATTGGCTGACTTGAGCCACTGCCACCAGGTTGGTGAATCGCCAAGCTGCCCCTGGAAACGCTTGTCCTGACTGTCCCTAACTGTGTCCTCTTTCTCCAAACCCGCTCTTTCCCCTGTTTCATTTTCCTTTAGCAGAATATAACTGTGAAAACCTTAAAATGCAACCCTGTTTCCTGAAGTTTTTAACAAGGATTGGAGCCTTCAGCTAAAGGGATGCAGGACTGAGGATGGATTTCAGTGGAAGAAGATTTGAGGACTCAAATGACCCCAGGGGAAAGCAGCCACCCATATGCTGCTCTTGCAAGGTCAGCATTGATGTGCCACTATGCAGTTATAACGTAAGTCGAAGCAATACCAGTAATTCTCAGGGCTTTGAGGGGGGAGAGAGAGAGAGAGAGACAGAGAGAGAGAGAGTGTGTGTGTGTGCGTGCGTGCGTGCGTGCGTGCGCACGCGCGCGCCAGAGTCAAGAGAAAATGTGAACCTACATATAAATATCCCCTTTTCACCGGCGATCGCACTAGTTAATTATAAGAACCATCCAACATTTTTAACATCAATGAGAGGAACCTCCCATTCAACAAAGGAAGAGTTGGGGAAATTTCTGTGTTCAGATCACCGACAATCACCAAAATGACCTACTGATCAAGTTCAGCTTGCCTCCCAAGGCTCTTGCAGCCAGTGAGGCCAGCTGTCACAAGAACTGTGTGTCTGACCCTCCTGGCAAGATCTGAGGTCTGCCAGTGTTTCATCGAGTTTGGTGCCTCAGTGCCTTTGGGACCAGATGTAAGGAGTGGCTCTCTTTTTGTGCCTTTCTTTCTCCCTTTGGCAGGATAAAATTAAAATCTAAAACATCCTATATGCCTTTCATCTAATTAACAGAGAGATTCAATTTCTCCAACACTTGTGTTAGCCCAGGTCTTGGAGCTAAATGACTACAGGAGAGACAAATGGACAGGGATTATGTAAATGAATTGTGTCACATACAAGCATGGTAAACAAATACGTATACTTACTTGACCTCTTTTGCCTCCATTATGCCCTTTCTTTGGCTCTGCTTTTGGAGGAGGAGGCTGTGGGACATAAGATAGAGACATTTCACTTGGAATTTTCAAACATGTCTGTGAGTAGCAAACAAAGGTCAGGTCCTCTGGCCTGTCCACTGCTCTGGCGCCTAGCCAGGCACACTGTGAAGCACACACATGCACACATGTGTACACACACAGATCACGCCAGCCACTCCCTACTTTTATAAACCCTAAACTCTTTCTCAAATATAGGCACCTGTTCACCTTAGCTCGTCCTCATCCTCTGCCTCCAATCATATATATGGGTGTATATACATGTTCATGCATTTCTACTCACATGAATAAAGTATTATTCACTCATACAAAGTCCCCTCCTTGCCCTTAAGGAATAAGAACACTGTGGGATTTGCTTTCAGAGGCTCAACACATTGTTTCAAATATTCTCAGGGCACACACACTTTCACCAGCCAGTGGATTGGACTTTGGGAAACAGCCAAAGGTCATTACACCTGGTGAAGCTGGTGTGTGTGTGAAGTCACCTGAGATTAAAAGCTAAGATCTCTCCCAGATGTTCCCACAACTTGGAGGTATTGCTAAGGATGCCCCCTTTTATGCCCAGCATTTACTGGCTCTATTAGCTGGGCCCTGTTTGTCAGGAATCAGCGTGGTTCACACTCGTGTCTGTGCAAATGCAGTTACACGGCTCTTTCCACTATGATTTGGATGAGCTTTCTATCCCCTGGTAAAAATGGCATAGGGACACCTCTAGGTGCCGGGCAGGAGGGATACCATGGTAGACAAGCAGACACCGCCTCAGGGTGCTGCGGCCTAGTGAGGCAGCCGTAGTGCGACCCGGGTCACGAGCACAGAGGGTGGGGTGTGACAGGGAGCGCAGAGCCAGGAGCCGTCAGTGTACAAGAGCCAGGGAAGGGGACTCTGGGGAAGCTGGCACTTGGGGTGCGCATGGGAGTGCTGGACTCCCTGGGTAAAGAGAAGGGTGAGCGTGGCCTTAGAAGCCCGAGGGCCAAAGTGAGAGCCTTTGGGCAGGTTTCCAGCCTCAGCCCGACTCATCCTGTGGGCTGGTGACTCTTTGCTGTGGGGGTTGCCTGGTGCACGGCCCGATGGTTAGCAGTGTTCTCGGGCTCTGCTTACAAGCTGCCAGTAGAGCCCGCCCTGCAGGCTAGGACAACCCAAAATGTCCCCTGGCATTGTCAAATGACGCTCAGGCAAAGTCATTCCCCACTGAGAACCACTGCCTTACAAGAACAGATGAATGTATTTTACTCCGTCAAAATTTATGAAGAAAAAAATCCCTATGACTCCATAAAGTATAGTTAAGAGGCAGCATGCCAGAGGAAAATATGTATAACACATAGGAAGGCGTGAAGCCTTTATTATGCACTACAAAGAATTCCGAGATGTCAGTAAAAGATGCACCCTCAATAAACAGGGCCAAGAAGGCAATTTGAAGTGGTTTGTGCCAACTTTTTGTATTATTTTAAACACAAAAACACACTATTGACAGGGGGGGGATGCAAAAAACCCGGAATTTATTTATTAAAAAATTGTGTATTCTTACATGTTTAAAATCGGTCACATTCAAAGTACTCTCCATTTGATGCAATACACCTATTGAGACTTTTTTCTACTGCTCAAAATAGTTTTTGAACTCATTGATTTTGAGCCCTTCTAGGGCTTCTGCCATTTTTTGTTTCATCTTTTTTACATCGGTAAAACGATTCCCTTTGAGGACTTTTTTCACCCGGGGAAACAGGAAAAAGTTGCTCGAGGGCCAATCAGGTGACTAGTGAGGGTGGGGCATGGGGCCCTGCCGTGTTTTTGGTCGCACACTGCTGCACACTCAGGTGGTGTGGGCGGGTGTGCTCCTAAATCACCCATCATGAAATGGGCGAACGCACTGAGTCTTCAAAAAATTCAGTGAAATCGAACACAGCCTCTCACACCACCACCAGCTGATACACTGATCCAGGCAGGTTCCTAGCACACTCACCTAGCGGAGAGAAGCCTGTACTACAAGGAGCTCGCCCTCCAGAAGATAACCCCGGGGGTTTTTTCTCATATATTTATGTGTATCTGCCTGTGTGACTTAAAAAAACCCCCACAAAAGAACAACAACAACAAAAGACCTGGAAAGACATGCACTAAATTTTAAGATGCTCGCCTCTAAAAAAGGGACTGAGGGTGGTAGCTGGTAGGGGTTAGGGAGTTGGTGGCAGGGGTGGCTAGCTCTACCATCATTTGAATTTTCCCAATAACATGCATGAGCTACTTGTATAGTCAAAAAGCAGTAAAATATTTTGAAAGTCAGGATAACTGCGGAAAGCTCAAATATCCTGAATTTCCTCATATTCCAAGCTGGGTATCCTCCAAGCTGGGTGATAACAGCCGCCACTGTGGACTGCTCACCATTGTGCCAACCCCTATTCTGAGCACACTGCTTGTACTCAACTCAGTTTCTTCTCACAATCTCCCTGTGGGATGGGTATTTATCGTGCCCATTTTATACACGAGGAACCCGAGGCAGGGACATTGTGCAGCTGCCTAGGACCACACAGCTGATGGGGACAAAGCAGAGTGCAAAGTCAGGGCTAACTTGTCCATATCTAGGTCTCTGCAGGCTGGTCACCGATAAAGAAGTTGGCCTCTTGACATGTGCCACAGAAACTGGCTCCAGGCTGGTGCCTGAAGCAATTCTGATCACCTGCGTGGCTTGCCTCCCCCCAATCACTACACAGGAGGGGCTGGTGCTTCCAAAAGCCTCACACTAAATGAATGCGGGGATCCTGGATTAGGTCCTAGAACAGGAAAAGGACATCAGTGGAAAAACCAGTGAAATTTGAATACAGTCTGGAGTTTAGTGAAGAGTAATGTACATTTTGGTTTCTTGGTTTTGACAAACATACTATGGTAACGTGTCATGTTAACATTGGGGGAAACTGGGCAGAGGGGTATTTGGGTACTCTATTATCTCTGCAAATTTGTATATATTATATTTTATATCTACTTTATATATGTTATTTATAAATATATATATATATATATTTTTAAGCACCAGAGACAAGGGTTGGGCCCCTCTCCCGGCTTCAGCCCTGCTACACCATTGTGCCTCAGTTCGAATACCATGGGACAGCCGGGGACGCCTATGGCTGCCTGTCGCCCTGCCTCTGTGACATTCCCCTCAAGGGCTACTTGGCCAAGGGCACTTGTTTGCCCAATCCTCGAATTCTAAGCAGACATAAGAGTCTGTGCCTTAACCATGATATCAAACTGCCTCTCACATTTTAGGGGCCAAGTCTTTTCTTTCTCTATGAATCCTAAGGGATGATCGTTGCATAGAGCCAGCTGCCTCAGAAGTCAAAATGAGATTGTTAAGTACTGTTGTAAGCTGGATCCACAGCCAGGGAGGGAATGTATAAGCGTGGCTCCTATGGGAAACCCAAAGCAAATTGACACATTTTCCACATCAATAACACTATTGATTTAATTCCGTAACTGGCTATAATTTGGGTACTAGAAGTAACATAAACGTCAGCCATCAGATACCATTGATTCTCTTTACATACCGTTTCAATTGTTTTGTTAATTTGTTTATGAATTTCCCGAAGCATCTCCACACCCTGTAGGTAAAATAAACATGATCTTCTACAACTGCAGTCTAGGAGTTTTAAATATAAAAACTTACACCACACATGGCTATTTCTAACTCAGAATATTTGTAAGGCCCCTGACAAGGTCTACAAGATCAGATAAAATGCTCATCTTTAGCCCTCAGTTTTCATTTGGTTGAACAGGACTGAGAGGCTCTTCCTCCTCAGTGTCCCCTCTTCATTGTTCAGAACTGAATGGTTCAGTTGGCTGGATCAAGTTAACTTCATTCTATTTCATGGTCTCTGGACGGACCTTCTTGCAGTAGATGTCGTAGGTCACAAAGGGATTCTGCATGATACTCTTGGACTTGGTATAAACCCGCTGTCACTTTAAAAGTAAAAAATGTATTCTGATGACAGTGGCGTCTGCATATGCAGACAGATAAAGAAGGGCGCTCTGGTGCTGTGGTACCCACACAGCACAACAGATCTTCACTACAGGAAAGATCCTGGTGCCAGGGTCTGAACTTGACCTGACACATGGTGAGCGAGATATAAATCCTAGTCTTCTACAATTGATACCCTGGGGGGTAATGGTTATTCTCTTTAAAAAAGAATTCTTTATCACAAACCATCTTGAGATTTAAAAATCATGGTTTTCACTGTATCACTCAGCATATTACAAGAGGGGATGGAGCTTCCTGTACTTTCTCTGAAAACAACCCCTATAGAATATGAACACCGAGTTCTCCCTAATGCCCAGTTGAGGAGTTAAAGAAGTATAATGACTCATTCAGGACACATAGAACAATATAGACACTAGCATGCCACTAAGCAGTAAAAATGCAATTTAGGGTTCCTTCATTCCATATTCCATAAACATGCACTAAACCTGTCTTGCGTGCCAGACAATCTGCAGTCTGCCATTTCCAGGCCCTGGAGTTCTAACTTTACAGAACGGGCTGCTAGGAAGGTACCAGCTTCCTCTTGCTGCTGCTGTAGTGCATGGACCAGAAAATAAAGACATCTCAGCTCCCCCAGTAACAACCCTCCAGCAGTATCTAGGCCTACAAAGCTGCTCTCAAGGGCCTGTCTGTGAGTCACTAACATGATCCAGTGCTGGAATGAACCAGAGATTTAAGGTGGGCTCAATTGTGTTCCCTTTTGTTTGAGGCCTTGTTTTGCTACCATTTCCCTGATTTCCTAAAATATTTTTTTCATATCTAATCTCTTAATGTCATAAGCCTTGGGGATCTATACTAAAAACTCATTGACAATGGAGTATATATTTTGTAGAGAAAGCAATTTGAGGTAACGTAAGGTACTTGTTTAGCCGTTAATCCAGGGTGGGGTATGCAAATCACTTCTTTCATTAAATTCAGCTTCCCGGGCGATGACTTCCCACAGCTGACCAGAGATACCATTAGCAGAGGTACAGTTAGCTTGGTTGGCGGTTCCTGAAATAGGGGAAAAGCAAGAGGAAAGGAGAAGCATGGCTCATTCATAGTGAGATGCCCGTGGGTCCTTGTGATGGAATATGAAGGGTTCCCACCTGGTGGCGCTTCAGGAGTGCGACACTGAAGTACAGCGGAGTACCGCTCAGTGCGGCGCTGGTTTTGGCAGCAGCTAGTGACACAGCCCCTATGGCCATGCTGCCACAGAGGACAGGTTCAGCAGGCTCTGGAGGTAGAATAGGTTTCTCTGTAAGCGAATCCTTCATACCTGGAGGGGAAAATATTGATAACAGATTCCTTACTAGGAAGTTTGACTCTAAGAAACCTGTATTTTTTTTTCCAACTTTATTTTTTTTTATTTATTTTTTTCAAATACATTTGTCTCTGCCTCCCCCCCACCACTTTCCCCTGCCCCCTCCCTCCTTCCCTCCCTCAGCTCTTCCCCTTTGGTTTTGTCCATGTGTCCTTGCTATATGTTCCTTGACTTTCCCCTTCCCTTCCTTTTCCCCACCCCCCACCCTCCTTCCCTCTTGTCTCTGTTGATTTCTTTTCCTTTCAGTGTTGCTGGTCTTATTTTCCTTGCATCTTTGTATTGTTGGTTAGGTCCCACTTATAGGTGAGATCATATGGTATTTGTCTTTTGCCCCCTGGTTTATTTCGCTTAGCATAATGCTCTCCAGTTCCAGCCATGCTGTCGTGAAGTTTAGTAGTTCTTTTTCTCTTTCTGCTGCGTAGTATTCCATTGTGTATATGTACCATAACTTTTTGATCCAATCATCTACTGATGGGCATTTAATACTTTATGGATACATATGAAGGCCCAGCATAAAGGCTGAGCGCTGAGGCTGGGAAGAACATACTTCCCACCTCAGCCTTCAGCAGGTTTTCTGTTTTATTTCATTTACCACTCACCACTGCTCAAATAACCCTGAGACATGGGTTTTGCCTCTCTAAGAAATTTTTAGAACACTCAACATTAACTCTTTCGGTGATATGGGCAGATAATTGTTATCCCATATTCACATATAACTAAACTAGAGCTTAAAGACATTAAAAGATTTGCCCAATATCTATGAGAAAGCAAATAAAGAGAGGATTTGGGCAGTCTTTGGCCAAATCTTTTGCTTTGCTATATTCCACCATCATTCTTGCATACCCAACTTGATGCTGAACATCTCTTCATGGATACATCTAACTGGTTATTTTTCTCGCCAGCCCCCAACCAGTGCCTTTCTTCCTTTACTTTTAGAAATGCCTTCCAGATCCAACCAGCCAGTCAGAATCCTTTCTCAGCTTTCACTCGCCCATGTTCTCAGCCACCCAGTCTGATCAGGTACCACAGTCACTAGGGTCTCTTGTCCTCCTCTTCCCCACAACTACTGGCCTGAGTCAAGTAGGTAAGTGGAAAAAGATGTAAGCACCTAACACATAGAATTTAGCAAATTATTGTCCCCTCTGACCTCTTCCTTTCTTTTGTGTTCCAAATTGTATCAGTCAAAAGCAACCCCCAAGTGAACATCCATTGGTGGCCTCTGCATGTACTTCAGCAGTGGCTGTCTTCACCCTCCCAAGAGACTGGGCTAGCATAATTCTTTTGTCTTAGGCAACGCTCCTCCCTATCCTAGGCCTCAGCATCTAAATCTATATAACAAGAGATTTTATCTCCATGGTCTCTTTGGTCCCTTTCGTTTTCTGGTACTTTCTTATTCAATGGAACCCACGTTTAGTGAGTACTTAGTTGGCACCTGGCATCATGCTAGGCACTGGCAGTGCTAAGTTGAATGAGGCATGATTCATGACCTCAAGGAGCATGTTCTAGTTGAACATACAAAACACTGCTGCAATACTGGCAGCAGCTCCAGAATTTACTGGAGGGACTGAGGTTAGCAATCTGTTGGAAGGCATGACACAAAGGGCCATGATAAATAACTTCGATTACTGGCTTTAAAATAGCAAAGTTTTCCAAATAAAACTTTTATTGATATTTTACATGGGACTGAGAAAATATTGATTATCTTTAAAATATGGAGTGGCTTCTTGATGACCAGTGGAAATTTTGAGGGACAGTTAAGGGTCCCCCATGCCACCCACCCGTCCCCTCTCTGGCATTGCCACTGTTCAGTGCACTTTGTTTGTTTAGTTAGTGCTCACTTCTGGGTAAGAAATATTTGGATCTTACCAAAAAATGGAGGGTGGGCCCTGACTGGTGGGGCTCTCAGTGGGTTGGGCATCATCCTGCAAACTAAAAGGTTGCTGGTTCAATTCCCGGTCAGGGCACATGCCTGGGTTGTGGGCCAGGTCCCTGGTTAGAGGTGTGCAAGAGGCAACCGATTGATGTTTCCTTCCCACACTGATGTTTCTCTCCCTCTCTTTCTCCCTCCCTTCCTCTCTCCCTAAAAATAAATAAAATCTTAAAATAACTGGAGGGTGAGATGAGGCAAAACCCTGACAGCCCAACATAGAAGCTTTAAGCAAGGAGGCAGCATGGAGATGGATGGTAGCTGGTGGGAGCCCACTCAGGTCTATTGCAGAGACTGTAGCTCAGGAAGGCAGACTGAGCTTCAGCCTTTTTTCCTCATGCATTTGTTACTAAAGGGCCTGCAAGATGTTAAGCCACCAACCTTGCTTTTGCCCTTTCTTTTTTGCTGGAGGTGGAGGCGGAGGAGGTGGTGCTGGTATTAGAAGTGAGGGTGTGGGCTCTGCTGAGTCTTCTAGGCTCTTTTCCAGTTCTTTTCTCTCCTTATCTTCTTTCACTTTATTTTCAAAGAACGTCCTTAATGGCAAGAAAATATGGCTGTACAGCGGCATATTTAGGAATATCACTTGTAATTTTGGTCTTGTTTTAGACAGTGAAATATATAGCACTATGTGAAGGATTTCTTTTTCTTTTTTCTTTTTTGGAAGATGGGGCTTAAAATGAAGAGTTAAAATTAAGTTTTGGGAAATCTCAGTTTGGTATATCTACATAAAATTTCAGTCACTCCACATAAAAAGAGGCTACAAGGTTCCATAGACAAAAAAACAAAGCCATCAAAGACATGGGGATCCGATATGTATTCGACTTTGTAATAATCTAGATGACAGTGGGGCCATGATATTAAAGTACTGAGAAAGATTTTTAAATGGGAATTCTATATTCAGCCAAACTGTTGACCCCGAGAGCGAAGTACTGACATTCATACACAGGTAAGAACTCAAAGACTCTACATTCCTCTCTCATTCTTACCTTTAAAGGATGTAATCCGTCAAGTTAAGAAAGAGGAGGATATGGGATCCAGGCAACAGGAGAACAACAAAGGGATGTCTTATGGCATCTCCTTGCGATGCCTAGAGAAGAACCAGTCCAGATGGGAAGTTTGGGGAGGAAAACTCCAGAGAAAAAGGAATGTATGGAATAGAAAGTATGACTGAGCTCTTGGGGGAAACAACTAAGGATATGATAATAGCAGAAAAGATACACACACACACACACACACACACACACGAATAAGTGCAATAGCATTCAGAAGCCAAAACTATTTTAAAAATGTTTTTACAAAGGTCATGATCCGACTCTGAAGTAAACTAAAATATGATGTTATGCACAGTGAAGCCAGTGATGAAACTTAGAGAAAGAGAATCCAGTTGACCTTCATTTGGCCAAGAGGGTTGTGGCCCTGGACCTGCACAAAAAGGAAAAGCAATGCTGACTTCTGCACAGTTGGGCACTGAGCAACACTCACAAAGCCCCAGCGAACGGTTCCTTTGTTTTCACATTTTAAACTCAATCTACGGGCAAGACATGGAGGCCCTGTTGCGTCTGAATGCACTGCGCATTCATTGTGACAATATGCATGGCCATGGGACGCGCAACCCGGGGCCTATCGGGAGGTGTCAGGAGGTGGGGAGGGGGTAGAACATCATCTCCATTCTTAATTATATTCCTGAGAAAAACTTTTTACTGAACTCAAAGAAAGCTCTATGCATGAAAAGAGGCTGAAAGCCCTTATACAGAAAAATTTTGACAATAGTTTTCAGAAGGAAAACAATATTTTGTGCTAAATTTTCCTGCTTTAGCAGTGTTTCTTAACTGACTAACTGTATCCATAGACAGACCAGACCTGTTTTACTGGCAGATGAAACGGAAAGAGAACAGGTATCTATCTATACTGGACGTTTGCATTTCTAAGGGAAAGATTTACCTGAGCACCTGGTCCACCTCAGCCTGGCTGGAGGGTGCTAGGCCCTGAAGCTCCTGGGTGAGGGTCTCATTGACCCACTGCACAGCGGTGCTGACAGCATCGAGCCTTTCCGCTTCCTCCGTGTCAACCAGCTCGGGTAACGCGTGCTCGCGGACTTCGAAGTGAGTCGCCATCACCACAGAACACATGTTCTGCAAATAACATAAGTGTTTCTACATTTTCTCTTCCTCTCACAGGAAGTGGGAAAATCCAATGTATCTAGCTTTTAATGAGCATGGTATTTTAGCACCAATTTCAAAGGGAAAATGAGAATATATAATTTTCCTTGAGGTATTTTTTATAGCTATTGAAACACTGTGGAATCCAACTTTGAGGAACATTTAAAATTATTGCCTGGTTAAAATCCCCTTAGAAAAACCTTACACTGAAGTTCACTTTTATCACTATTTCTCCAATAAATAGCTAAAAAGGATACACACAATTATTTTCTTCTCAGAGTCTGTAGCAAAATTATTTCTAAAACGTATGTAGCAATTAAAATGAATTATTAAAATTATGAAAATGCATTTTTCTTTATGTAGTTCAGTCTATGTATTGTGAAATCTATGTGAGTATAGATATATCAATTTATAAACCTATTAGATTTATGGAACCCATCACATTAATAATGTCAGGTTTTTAAAACTATTTTTACCCCGTTTCTTTTTTCTTTCTTGAATCATCTTCAAGTTAGTGTGTTGTTTCTGTACCATATTACACTTAAACATAATAAAACCATCATGGTTGATTGTATGGTTCCTGCTTTATGTACATGTCTACCTACAAATTGTATGGTTGTGTCTATTTCACAAACACTGAATTTCAAAGTATCCATTTTCCACAATGAGGACAATAAATGCAGTGGGGCCAGGACATAGTGCAGAACACCTTTAAGCTGCCTCGTACCTTGGGAAAATTTTGAATGGTGCAAAATATTTCCACTTGTAGGGTGGGCAGCCCCAGTCCGTCCAGTACTTTCTTCCCCACCACTTTGCATATGGTGGGAGGCTTTGCAAGTTTAGAGAAGCAGTTTGCCTTCAACACAGAAAAACAAAAATCAGAATACCATCTCTAATTTACCTCTAAAAGGTCATTCACATTTACTCTAGTTTCTACTAAACTTCTCCCTGAGTGTCCTCCTCATGCCAGGATTAGTCTAGCAGCTCTGTGCGAACTGCCCCGCCCTTACTTGTTGAGATTTGGATGCTGAGTCTCTGGTACGTAGAGTGACTGGTTGTCTTTTAAACTCTCAGCAGAAACTCCCATGCATTTAATTTCAAGGCCCTATGTCACTCTTTCGTTGGCCCTAACGCTATCCTTCTGTCCCAGATACCGAACTCAGTTGGACTCTAGAACACTGATGCATTCAAACTTAGGAAACCGAAAGTGGGCAAGTTTGTATTCCTCCCAGCAAGGCATCTGATATTTTAATGGTGAAGAGTTATGCAGAGACTGTATTGCATTGACCATCAGTTCATGCATAGAATTATGTGTTCAAAGAGGATTGTTGGAACCTTAGTAATAGCTGTGTCATTGATGTGGAAAAGCAGAAGCCATTTGAAAGTGATCCAAGAAAGAGAATGAAGCTGAGGTAGAAAGCCCACTCAAGAAGCCTGAGTAAAAAGATTTAAGATGGTGTTTCTATTCAGGAGCTAAGCGGGAAGGAAGAAAAAGTGAACGCCTACCCTCCTCAGCTCAACCAGAGTCCAAGTTTCCAGCCTTAGCTTTTGCTCCAGGTAGGTATGAGACAAGGGCTTGGTGTCTTTGTAAGATGAGGAGACTAGACCAATTAACTTTCAAGAATGCCCCTAGCAGAACGTAGTGGGGACAGGGAGGAAAGAGAGTGGAATTGCATTCACCCTTTCATTCTCCAAATAGCTCTGAAGGGTCCACTATGTACCATGCACTCTGCTAGGTACTAGGACCTGGTTTGATTTCTCTCCGTTGTCCACTTGGGAAAATCATTTAAGTTCACTGGGTCAGTTTCTTATTTGTAAAATGGGAATCATAGATTTTACTTCACAGGGGTCCTAAGGATTAACTGAAATAACATAAAGCACATTAGCACAAGGAGCTCAGTAAACACCTTCTTCCATCCCATCCCCAACTTTGATGCATGGGCCACGACAGAGAAAACCAAACATTCATGAAGCATCCTCTGGGTCAACTGTCTCCACAAAATGCGCTTTTGAACCCTGTAAACACATGGGGCTTCTTCACAGCATTTACATACTGTGCTTGGTGTTGTCCTGTTGCTTCACCGTTGTGCAAATTCCTGCCAGTCCCTACCACACTGCCTTCCAGAAGGCAGGTGTTGGTTAGTACCTATAGATCTGGAACTGAGAAAACCCTTGCCTTTGTTTCAACTGCTCATTGCTTAAGGCTAAAGTCCGTGCCAGAAATCGCAATGGGCATAGGAACTAGGAACGTGATACGAAAAGGCACCCGCTCTCCTTGCATGCAGAGAAAATGCTACAGGAACTAGGAACGCTTAAGGGCAATTAGTCCAGGGCGCAGCGGTCAAGACCTTGATCTGAACTGCAAGTTTAGCTAGGAGCTGGTCAGGTGGGGACGGGCATCCAGGCAGGGGCGAGGCTTGGTTTGAGCGAAACTTGGAAGCAATGGGAACGGGCTGGGTATGAGGCCCCAGGGTTGGCCCTGGACAAGTTGTAGCGAAGGCCAAGGCCTTTATCCCACCGTCAAGAGGTGGCCACTGACGGTCGGTAACCTGAGCTACGCAGTGCTAAGATCTGTGTTGAAAAGAACTGGCAGCCGGGGCAGGCCTGCCCAGAGGCAGGGTGGAAGCCTGTCAGGCCGCGAGCCGTCGCCGTAGCTACAAATCCTCCTCGAGCCCACGATCCTCGAGCTGCTTCCTGTCCACCACTTTCTCGAACCTCCTTGCACCCAGGTGGCCGCTCTGCTGCTGCTTCCCTGCAGGATCGTCCCTCCGCACCACCACGGTCTCCATCCCCCAGCGGCAGCAGCGCGCGTGCGCAACTCTGCGGCGCAGGCGCGCGGCGCTGCCGCAGCGCCGGGCGGGGGGAGAGGGGCTGGAGGGAAGAGGGTGCTGTCCCAGGTCCCTACCAGGTGCCCGTAGACGTCGGCAGGCTGGAGGTAGAAGGTGGAATTGAGCAGCTCTTCCAGCCTGCGTGGAACGTCGTTCTCCCGGTAGTACTCCAGAGCCTGCTGCTTCAGCTTCTGCAGCTCTCTAGTGGTCCCACAGCTGCGGCCGCCGCCTTCTTCCCCCATGGTAGGAGATTTAAGGCTACTGCGGGGGTTAGCCTGGGGGCCTGCGAGCGTCCTCCCCGTTGCTAGGCAACGCAACGAGAGTCCGACCCCAGATCTCGCGAGGCTTCCAGTCCCCGGTTTCCCCGACGGCGGGAGCCTGGAATGGCCCTTCTGCCTTCCTCTCTCGCCCTTCCTGAGGGATTTGCCTCCTCGCCTAGTGCCATCCCGGCGTCGTTTCTCACCACCTTCCCCCCCCCCCCCCCCCGTTTCCCAGGTGGGGAAATAGTTAACGATCTTAGCTAGCGCTTTCTGTGGAAGCATGGAAAGGTTTGCCCCGGCTTCCAGCCTCGGACTCGAGCCCAGGGTGGCGCGCCGGTTCCTGTGGCCTGGGAGTCGAGCCTCAGGCCTGCGCCATCCACCCCCTCGTTCCCGCGGCCGGGAGCTCCGCCGGATGGCGAGCGCGGCCCGTGCTGCCCGCTCTCCTGGGTAGGAATGTGAGAACTCAGGGGAGGCCCACTAAGCTGTGCAGGTCCCCAGGAGCTCATTCATTCGGCCGATATTGAACTGGCCGCCCTGAGATGCGCAGAGTCCTGGCTGGGCGTCTGACGCGCCCTCCCCGGGAGGTTGGTGGAATGAAAAACTGTGGGCCCGAAAGATTTGGGTGAACCCTAAGGGATGGTTATGGTCGAGACAGGCTGAGAGGAGGGGGTGTTGCCGGCAAGCCTCGAAGGGAAATGAAAGGGTGTCCCGGGGTCCTGTTCCCTCTCCAGAAGCGTCAGAGGCTGCCCGCGTCCTGCCCCTTTAAATCCAAGCTGCCTGCGTGGCGTCGCTGCACCGGCCTGTGTCAGAGACAGCTCTAGGACTCCAGTGCGCGTCCTCTGCTCCCATCCTCCCGCCGCAGCAACGGGCCGAGAGGCTCGAGGTGTGCACGTTCTCCTCCTGCCTTTTGTGTTTCTGACCCAAGCGGATCGCTTAAACCGCTTACGCCGCGCGTTGCGCATCTGGAAAACACGTGTTACCTACCCTGTCCGATTCAGTGGTCACTTAGGATAAAATGAGAAAGGGAGTGAGAACACACGTTGAAACAAGATAGTGCTTTTCAATAGATGCCCATACATGCATAAAAACATGCGATTCTGTAAATACTGTAATAAGGACCCAGATATGCACCTTCTGAACTTGATGTTTTCTCTGAACCTCGAATGGAATCTCTCACTTTCGGGAGTGTGGTAAAGCATCGCAGACCCCCTTGTCCTCCTTGCTAGATGAACATCCCTCCACGGTAGCAACCAAGTGTCAGCCACCCCATATCTGCCGCAGCGCCTGGGGCGCCGCAGGGACGGAGCCTGTGCTCTGCTCGACAGTGTTGAACGAACCTTTGGACACAATTCGCCCAGGTCGTTGCTGCAGCTCTTTCTGTCCCTCCTTTGTGCCTTGCCTTGTGTCCCCTGGGCGGAGGTCAACCCCTTCTTCGGATGCCCACCCTCTACTGCCCCGTTGAGTCCCACACTCCGGCTATCCTCACTCAGTCCATCCTTCTAAATCTCTTCTTGCAGCCTGGGCCGCGAAGTTCAGCCCTCAAGGATTTCTTGACTCACGTGATATTTTAATGGGAGACTGGAAGTATCCTGAGCTGGAACCCCCTCTCAGGAGTCTCCTCATTCCTCTCTCAGTTCCATGGGGACAAGGACTTGGTGTGTCTTGTTCACCTTTGCATCCCCAGCATCAGTGCCTCACCTGATAGAATAGAGGCTTAGCAAATATTATAGATTCTACACATAATAAATACTTAATAAATACCTAACTCACGATCAAATATTTTGGAGCTGGATGCATACTGAGAACACCAGGCTGGCTGGAGCAAAGGGTTTATTTTTAAGAATAATGAGAAATAAGGATGCACAAGTCGTCTGAGGTGACATTGGAAGGCGCTGGAATACCATTCTGTAAGAGCGCAAAGCCATCTCAAATTCCTGAATACAGGATCGGCCAGATGGAAGTGGTATTTTAGGGAGTTAACTGGCAGCAGCAGGTAACCTTGATGGAGGTTTAGTTATACAAAAAGCAGGAGACCCAGGCAGAAAATAATAGAGATGTAGGGCCTAAACAATCATAGTAGCAATGGGAAGAGAAGGACGAGAGAGATAGTAGGAAAGACAAAAATTGCTTTGAGTGGGGCTGGGGAACCAAAGGTGACTCCATTGATGATAGCTTGTAGAATTTTGTTACAGTTGACAGAAATGAGGTAAACAAGCGAATGATCTGGTTTTGTTGGAACAGGGCACATTTGGTTTTAGACATGTAGGGCGCTGATATCCCAGAAGAAAGGAAAGACTGAAGATACAGATGTTAGATACCCTCAGTGAACTTAAAGCTGAGTAAGAATAGATAAATCTTCTGGAAGGAAAAGGGGAAAAGTCCTCTTGAACGAAGGATCTAAATTTTGGGGGAAGGAATGTATTCAGGACATAGGAAGAGGGTAAGGAGCTATCATAGGAGACAAACAAAAAGGGCTTAGGGAAAAAAAGATAAAACTCCAAGTCATGGAATCTAGGGCAGAGAGTTTTGGGAATATGTCAAATGTGTGTGTATGTGTATGTGCGTGCGCGCACATATGCAGGGGACACGGTCCGAAAGGCTATCATGAACATAATTGTGTAATCCTTGGGTGACAGAATCATAAGGAACTTTTATTTTTTCTTTTAACATATTTGTAGTATCTGACTTACCCAAAATGAATGTATCATTTGTATAATTTTGAAGAATTACATTAAAAATATTCGAGGGAAGGATGTTAAGTCAAATGTTACAGGAGAATTGAAGACCAAAAAGATTATTAGGGGCTCGGTTCTTCCCTTGCAGATCATTCTATCTTCTCAAATAAAAATAAAACTACATGTGGGGTAAATAATGAATTACCTGTCATTCCTGTTTATTTCTGTCATTCACTCAATCAACAGACATTAATTGAATGCCTACTATGTGCCAGGCACTGTTTTAGTTATTGTGTGAGGAGGGAGTTGTTAATAAAATAGATAACATTTCTTCTTGTCATGGCACTTAAATTCTAATTGTACTCCAGTAGCACTTACATCCCAGTGAGCAACTGAGACAATAAACTGAAATAATAGATGTGAAAGCATTTTGAGAAGTTGGTATGCTATGGGTTTAAAAGTCTGTTAGTGTTGACAGGTTCATGAATATCCCCATTTTCCTATTTTCTGTAGATACAGAGAAGTTCTGGGGTTTTAGCTGTAAAATACATTCATGCATATGTGTATTTTGTACATACTTAGCACATTCCTTATTTAGTACCTTCATATTGAGACCAAATGTCCCAGGGCCCTTCCTGAGCATCTGAGCTTGAAAGGGACAGAGTGCTGCCACCCCTAAGGTATAGATGGTGGGGGAGGGGGGCATTGAGGAGGTGAAGGAAAGGAAGAGAAGGAAAGAAAAAGGAAAGGTTTAGGATATATAGAAACTTCTGGAACATATCCAGGGAGAGAGGGGAGGACTATACTCTCCTCTTTTAGAAAGACAAGGGTTATTAGAAACAGGACACAGCCATGACTGTTAACTTCTCACTGGAGAGGATGTGTGATGTGGGACAAAGACCATTTGGGAATTAGAATACCTAGACTGGAGTCCCAGCTGTCCCCAAGGTCATCTGTGACCTATTCAATGAAACAAAGGGGCTGTACTACGTCAGTGTTTCCCAACCTTTTTGATGCAGACTCCTTTTTAACAATAAATAATTGAGGATTCCCCTCCCCATGTAATGGTGGTTATATAGCATGAATGCATTCAGTAGTGTGTCTAGACGCATTTGTATTTCATTCATCGAAACTTTGGCAAAGATGACATTTACAGGCAAACTGCTCTTCAGTGTTGGAAATGTGTTTGGTGTACATTTGAAGTTGTGGGATCCTTGCCCACACTCCACGGGCTTCTTGGGGATCTTGAGAACCAATGAATTTGGTCTCTCCATCTTAGACTTCTACTTTGTAGCTCTGATTCAAGATAAAATATCAGGGCATGTTAGCGTATTCCCACCTGCTAATGGAAGACCCCTCATACAGGAAATTAACCACTATTCTGTCTGCATGTCAAATAGAATTTCTCATTTATGTCAGACAGTTCCTAAATGAATGAGGACAAAGAACAATGTATTTGTTCATTTTCCTTAATCCTCTTTGACACCTTTATATAAATTGGAACTTGTTTGCCATGACTTTAATGTTCAGAAGTGATTATTTTGATGTTATTTTGGGGTTGCTATCAAGTGCTTGTTAATTCTCCTTTCCTGCATTTGCCATCTGGCTTGAATATTATTTTTCATAGGGAACTAATGAACATGATTGCAGGTGTCTTTCATCATGGAATCATAGAAACCGGAGACAGACTAGATGGAAATGTTGTCTTTTCCTCATCTAGAAAACGGGAGTAATAATGTTACCCTTACTCACCCAGTTGTCAGGAATGAAAAATATGATTGCCAAGCTAATTGCAATATAAATGGCTGCAAATTAAATGCTAAGTAATAAAAGTAGGAATTAATTGACTAATAAAAGTGGGGTTTTTTTGTAATTTTATTTTTTTCACTCCTAATGCCTCCTCGCAACAGTCATTACCACTGTAGTAATAATAACAACAAAAACCACAGCAGCAACTGCCACTGATGGAGCGCTTTTATATGCCTGGGGCTTTCTCATATCATCCCATTGAATCTGCAAAACAACCACAAAAGGCAAGTGATTGGCCCAATGTTACACAGTTAATTAGTGGATATGGAATATGAAGTTAGGTCTGGCTGATGCCAGTGCCCCTGCAGTTCCCATCGTGCTCCACTGCTTCTCAGATCTAGAACTCTCTGTTAGATTCTACTGTCTCATGTCAGCTATTGCTGGACTCTTGCCTGTTCTCTGCCAGTGGAGTTGCTTACATTGAGGGCTTGGAGCAAGGAGCCTGGTTAAGTGGTATTATCCGTGTGATCACTGGTTCTCATTCTGGCCTGCACGTTAG